AAGGCAAGACGCAGCGAGAAGTACATAGAGGATCTGGCCGACACTCGACGGAAAGGCAAGACGCAGCGAGAAGTACATAGAGGATCTGGCCGACACTCGACGCGAGAAGTACAAATCTGGCCGACACAAGAAAGCAAGACGAGCGAGAAGTACATAGAGGATCTGGCCGACACTCGACGGAGAAAGGCAAGACGCAGCGAGAAGTACATAGAGGATCTGGCCGACACTCGACGGACGGAAAGGCAAGACACAGCGAGAAGTAAAATAGAGGATCTGGCCGACACTCGACGGAAAGGGATAAGACGCAAGACGCAGCGAGAAGTACATAGAGGATCTGGCCGACACTCGACGGAAAGGTAAGACGCAGCGAGAAGTACATAGAGGATCTGGCCGACACTCGACGGAAAGGTAAGACGCAGCGAGAAGTACATAGAGGATCTGGCCGACACTTGACGGAAAGGCAAGACGCAGCGAGAAGTACATAGAGGATCTGGCCGACACTCGACGGAAAGGCAAGACGCAGCGAGAAGTACATAGAGGATCTGGCCGACACTCGACGGAAAGGCAAGACGCAGCGAGAAGTAAATAGAGGATCTGGCCGACACTCGACGGAAAGGCAAGACGCAGCGAGTAGTAAATAGAGGATCTGGCCGACACTCGACGGAAAGGCAAGACGCAGCGAGAAGTAAATAGAGGATAGAGGATCTGGCCGACACTCGACGGAAAGGCAAGACGCAGCGAGAAGTAAATAGAGGATCTGGCCGACACTCGACGGAAAGGTAAGACGCAGCGACAAGTACATAGAGGATCTGGCCGACACTCGACGGAAAGGCAAGACGCAGCGAGAAGTAAATAGAGGATCTGGCCGACACTCGACGGAAAGGCAAGACGCAGCGAGAAGTACATAGAGGATCTGGCCGACACTCGACGGAAAGGCAAGACGCAGCGAGAAGTACATAGAGGATCTGGCCGACACTCGACGGAAAGGCAAGACGCAGCGAGAAGTAAATAGAGGATCTGGCCAACACTCGACGGAAAGGCAAGACGCAGTGAGAAGTACATAGAGGATCTGGCCAACACTCGACGGAAAGGAAAGACGGACATTTAGTCAGATTGCTACTAGCACTGCTGGTATTGTAATTCTGCGCTGTCCGTTGAAGATGAGGACGGAGCGATTATGGGAATGTTCCGAATGTTGTGATGTCGGTTCTTGAATCAGGTCAGCTCCGCTCTCTTTTCCTTCCTCCAGTGCCAAAATGAGCGCCCTAAAACAAACATATGGATAGCTGCTGGCGCTATTAAGCTCGTGTCTGGGTGCTGAGATTCTCTTAGCGTGGCCTTCATGTGACGAGCTCGAGAAAGCCGTGCACTTATTTGACTACCGATAATTAAAAGTCTAAGTTAGTTAGTTAGTTGGGTTATCATCATTGCACTCCGGACATGTCCATAGGTGCTCAGATTCTCCCCTCAGTATGAACCCCAACGTCCGATGGCTAATAGTACCAGTTCTATGCTTTCTACCCTTCCCATTTCTCTGAGGGCATTAATACCAGCAGCATGATACGTCCAAGATCTGGATTAGAATGTCCCCCCCCCCCCCCCCCCCCCCCCGTTTAAGCAGAATAACCGATTAAGCCTTATGACACCCATCAGATCCATACATCATCAAATGCCTGGCAGCCATGTTAGATGACTTCGCCACACTATGGGGCAGGGAGCGTGGGTTTAAAACCTGTTAAAAAGGGTGGGGGTGGGTGGGGGCGGGGTGTTATGATATGCATGAAAGTAATTCTTAACTGAAAAAAAATTTAAAGAAATGTCGAAACGGAGGCAACAAAGCAGGTCAGACAGTGAACATATTCTACACAACTTTTGTTGTTGTTGTTGTTGTTGCTGTTGTCACGAAGAGGAGGATGCCTGTCTTGATGTTGATGGGGAGGTTGTGGCGGCATCCTCCGGCATTACGTGCTCTGTAAGCGTTAAAAAAAAATCTTAATAAAAGCTTTAAAAAAAGGATAAAATACTTGTAGGACCAGAACTCTGTCGTGAGAATTAAAAAATAGAAATAGATAGATAGATAGATAGATAGATAGATAGATAGATAGATAGAGAGAGAGAGAGAGAGAGAGAGAGAGATAGAGAGAGATAGAGAGAGAGAGAGTTAGAGGGATTTTGAGAAACAGGATAGAGAGAGATACAGAGTTAGATATAGAGATACAGAGAGATATAAAGAGACAGATATGAGATAGAGATATGGAGATATAGAGATATGGAGATAGAGATAGAGAGAGCCAAAGATTAGATAAATATGGATAGAGAGAGACATATAAAGAGATAAAAAGATAGAAAGATAAAGAGAGACAGAGAGACTTAGAGACAGAGATACACATAGAGATGGAGAGAGATAGAGATATATAGAGATAGATAGAAAGATAGACAAAGATATAGAGAGAGACATAGAGAGATATAGAGAAATAGGGAGAGATAGACATATACATAGCTAGAGAGACATAGAGAGATATAGAGATAGACAGATAGAGAGATGTAGAGAGATACAGAGAGGTATAGAGTAATAAGAGAGATATAGAGCTAGATAGACAGAGAGCTAGAAAGACAGAGAGACAGAGATATAGAGAGATATTGACACTAACATAGAGAGGGATATAGAGATAGAAGTATAGAGAGGGACAAAAAGAGACAGAAAGATATACAGAGAGATAGAGAGAGACAGTAAGAGACAAAGAGGTGACTATCTTGTCCTTGTACAATGTTACCGAATCTGTTGTAACACTTTCTGAGAATTCTTCAACACTGTTACGGATGGCAGACCAACAGGACGAATTTCGGACATCTCGTTCATCCTCAAAAGAAGATATAATTGTGCCCTCCTTAAAAGCTACAATATGTACAGCTAGCTTCACTCTAGTCTTGTGCAGTTAAGGATTGTACACCAACTTTATCTTTTTAGTTTTGAAGATTGGAGAACATCATAAAGAGATGAGATAGAGCAACAGCAGTCTGAGAGAGTGTACTACCAAGACAAGAGATAGAACAAAGATTTCAAAGAGTTAAGAACTGGGCACGCAGGCCCGTCTACCATTCTGCCCTTCTAGTCTCTTCCTTTTCTGACATCATTTCATTGATATATCAACTAACAGTAAACATCGATAGATCAAAATATTCAATACAAGCACTGAAATGTACACATTTCTAACCACAGTAAACCGTAGTAGCTGTAACAAATCTAGGGGAAAGAAGCCCTTTTTCTAAAATACTTTTATCTTTTATGCTCAGATAATATTCGAACAATATTTATCGTGGTATGGGACGTCGCAGGTCGACCTAGCCTCAAATGGGTACCAGGATGGGCTGTCCTGGGAAATAAAGACGGCCGGCGTAATGCTGACCACATTACCCACCGAGTGCCGATTGGTCTGTAAAAATATTGCTGCTCTTCCCATATGCCCGATGCGCCTAAAGGCGTGTAGAGGGATCTTTACTTTTTACTTTTAATATTCGAACAGTTTCTGATTGTATGTACAGGGACTAGTGGTGCTGATTTGTTGTGGAAGATGGTTTCACATCTGAGCTGCGGAGTACGCCAAACTTGTTTTGTATAGGTCTATCCTAGGTTTAGGGATGTGTAATATGTTTAGGCGTTTACTATGCCTTCCATTTGTAAACAATGGCCATAAGTGTTGACCAGTTTGGAATTGTAATGCAGTATCGGCGGCAGATTAACGAGATGTTAGTCATTGATGCTTCACTGAGTGGCTGGACTAGCAGACGGGAGATGTCTGGATTCTTTCACCAAGTGGCGCGTGCATCTACCTTGAGTCCTCGGGTGGCGGGGTCTTTTAGAAGAAGATAGCCACTGAACATCACATGGGTGTATCTGCGCGATCGGGTGCGCGTCGCCTGTAGCAGGCACCCGGTACAAAGTTCGTTAGGCTGTGTGGTCCATGTCTGCGGAAACTGCCGATGTGAGTATTCGGAAGGGAGTAGTAGCCTCTGCGGTGAGTCATCGGTCACCAATACATCTTCGGGCACTCTTCCGAATAACGGCCCCTTATTATTGACTGTCCAAAACATTCATTTCAGAGCCTCACTGGGTTCAAGGGGTTACAAAGAGGTCAAGGGGTTATACTTATAAAGAGGTTATACAAAATATGGAACAACAAAATAATTTCGTTCAAACGAAATTATATAATAAAAGAAAGCATAGTTCGTAGTGTTTCGGTTCCATATTTTTAACTACATGACCTCTCAAGTCCCTAACTACGACCTCATTGAGGCCCTGAATGGGATTTTTTTGTCTTTGGATAATAAGGGACCGTTAATCGGAAGAGTGCCCATCTTCGTCGCAATGTGTTCGTTCATAATTAAGAGACTGATCGTACTAAAAGATCATATCTGGCGTGGTGTAGTGTATTACAGTACTCGAAGACAATGTCAGTGGTTATGATAGGCCCTGTTAGTTTGTCACCTATGCATGTCTTACGATGGTGCTCCTGTTTGCGCTGTGCCTTCTCGTGTGCTACCGAGTGGTCGTCGCACGCGTCAGGGGATAGAGTGAAAACAGTGTCCAGGTGCCAGGACGGACATTCGTAAACGAATCACCCTAGATGCTTAGTCAGCGGGGATTCCCACGACCGCACGCGGCATATACCGCCAACAACTTTATTTTAACAGGCTTGGGGGAGGGGACGGAGGGTATTTGAGCCTAAGGATTTACGACCGCATGTCGCCACGACTGTGTTTGTTAGGATTGTATGTTCCACATACCGCAAATAAGGCAAAATAAAAACTAGATGTTTCCTTACCTAAAAAAACAATCATAAAAAGACATGATTAATAACAGGTTGCATACCAAATTTCACAAACGGACACAGAACCGTTACTGAGTTACACATTTTTAAAGGTGGGCACGACTTCGGGAAGTTACTGTAACTAACGACATACTACACCTATGGAGCGAAAGTTCGGTGTTACAAACTCACTTTGCTGCGGCAGCCGGACCGGTTCTGTGTCGGACACAAATACTTGATGCAAGCGGCCCCGGAACTTGTATCTCAAGTACAGTTTCTTCTGCTCGCCGATAACTGGGTCATAGAATCCCGGCAGACCGCTCTAAGAACAACACATTTCAACAGTTTCAAATTAACAAGGACAAAAGTCGGTACTATCTGTCTTTTGTTAACATCAAATGTTGGGCGGCGTATACCAAAAACCTGAAAACCTAACATCATGGCAGGGCAGACAAGGTCCATAGCCACTGGTCTAGAAGGGAAGCTGCGACAGGCCGACAAACTGTTGGTATAGCTATTATAGCCAAACAATCCACTCTTTCATTCATTCTCACTCCTACACATCGTAGACAATACACAGAGGCGAGAAATAGACTGTGATGAACAAGATGACAGAGAGCACGCTGCAGGAGTGATAGACCGGGTGGATCTGAGCCGGTTGAGGGTCTATGCTTGCACATGGGATGAAGGGGAGCCGCGCTAGCGCAGTCGATAGGATACTCGCTTTCAAATCCAGCTGCGACTCGCTGCAGCCCACGGCCGGTGTTCGAAACCGGGCTGTTCCCGGGGTTCACCCAGCCTCTAGGTAATGAGTACCAGAGTTAACGGCCTAGGGTAAATGGAGGAACGTCGCTGTAGTTAAGGAGTTGCGTGCGGAAGGCGGCAAAGGCGGACAGTTTCTTATCAACTGTCCGTACTGGCGGCAGAGCAATTATGGTTTATAACCGTGTGCAATGACGCTGGTTCACATCTCCCGACTTTCTCTTCACAAGGGATGAAGAGTGGAAGAGAATAGAATGATAATGAAGATTATGCAGATTTTATAAAGTTACAACAGGTGAGACGAGATGTACAAGCCACGTGACAGGAAAAACAGAAAGAGACAGATACCAACGAAGCACTAACAACAAGAGTAAACCCGCAGGAGCAGTAAACGATTTCACAGAACATCGAAGAAAGAAATGGTTTGGTCTACTGGTCAAAATATACGCGTAATAAAATCACCCAGCAGCTAGAACGCACTACATGACAGAGATGAGTAAAAGCAAAGAACCCTATTCTGCGTCATTCGGTGTACTGGGTATATGGTGCTAGCTAGACCTATATCTGTACGCCCCTCCCCCCACAGACCTTTACCTTGTACCTATTTTAGGCTAGGTCGATCTGGCAGCTAGTCCTTTTTCCATAAGGATGTGAACCTACAATCCTCGGGCCCGAGGTAGGCGTTCCGCTATAACGTCACGGCACTCATAAAGACGTGGGTTGAGGGAGTCAAAGAAACACAACAGAAACGCAAAATAACATGAACACGAGCTAGGCAACTAGCAAGACACCTTTCATCACAAGCAGTCAGACAACAGAAGAAAGAAGATGAAATACAGACAGTGATGCGGGCAAGACGTCACCCTAAGACAGCTGTCTCCAACATTGAGACAGTTTGTTTTCAACATGGGCGTACCGGCACCCTCTCCCTCCCCTCCTCCTCGGCCCAAAAGGAGCGCCACAGAGTTTCAAGAGGGGCGTCAAAAAATTTTGAAATTGAGTGCATTTGTATTTTTAAAAATCCGATATATTATTTTTTTTCAGTTTAATTATAAGCAAAGTAACACAATATTTTTAAAACTTTAAAACAAAAAGTCAAGGACATACGGACATTTGCGTTTTACTTTTGATAAGCAATTTAAGTAATACAATGCAATGTGTATATGACTGACTCAAAACAGCAGTCGGTCAAACCTTTTACGCAGCCACGCCTGTTATGAGATTCAAAACCACCACGATTCCTACGCCACCTGTAAAAGAACCAGTCTCGACGTACGCCAGATCTAACTGTATATACCAATTTAAATGCACCTGTAACGCTGCATATGTGGGCTGAACCGATCGACGACTGGAGAAACGGGTTGCTGAACATATTCCACTATGGGTGGTAAAAGCAATGCAGAACACTAACACCTCAACAACAACGAATCAGGTGACTGAACGACAAAATCCATCATCAGCAATTGCGTGCCATATTCTAAATTCCGGGCACATCATTAACAGGGATGATGCATTTCGAATTATTTACAATTCGGCCAACCGTAGATTACTCAGATACGCGGAAGCTTCCGCGATCAACCGGTTAAAACCGGATCTCTGTAGGCAGAAAGAAATGGTAGTTTCCTTAAGGTTACCTTGGTGAAACAGACAGTGTAGAATGTACTCGAATTTGTGTTTCAGTTTCTAGGATTCAGCTATTTGCTTCATTTATTCACTTGTTACTGTAGTATGCACCTGACGAGATACAGCGAAATATGCCAGGCAATAAATTGTGCAGTCTATTGTTTGAGTCTTCTTTGTTCAAATTCACATAGGGGAAACATTGCTTTGATTAAGTAATACAGTTAAAAATCAAATTATTATGATAACGCAGGCATTTGTAGATTAAGAACACATTCTGACCAAAACGTATCTCCATACTTTCTGTTTCTCTTGTTGCGGAATCTATTGTCCCCTTCTTTTGAAAAGCATTTTGTTTTGTGGGGCGGGGTGGCGTGGGGGGTCATGTCATATTTTCAAGGGGCGCGACCCGAAACAGGTTGTAAATCAGTGTTCTAAGAGAAGATCGATCGCTGACATTAATAATCTTCAACAATAGCCATGGCTTCCCACCAGGCAACGGATCGAAAACTGTTCCTCCCCCAGCCGCTTTACGGCCGAAACAAATTGATGATGATGATGATGACTACGAGCACAACTGAAAATATATGTAGGTTACCAACCTTGGAGCTGGTCTCTGGCAGAATCAGTTTGGAGTCTTTGACCAGCGACTGTACCGGGATGGTCACGTCAATGCAAGTTTGCTCTTTGATCTCTCTGTGACAGTTGATTTAAAAAAATACTTCAACACACCTCTTAATATTATATTAAGTTATAACAATCAACGTCACTGCACACCGGGCATTCCCATGCGTGGTCACTCTTCCACCTCAGCAGCTAATCCAGGGTACCTCTACTGGTTGTTCCCATGAGGAGCTGGTTATAATGTCTCCTATCTCAAGTCTTAAAGTCGGCATATTAGACGTGCTTCCCACGCTCTTCCTATGTCCCGCAATCGTGTTGGCGTCAGCGATTCATCATTAATTGAAAATGGCCGGCCCATGGAACACGTCGACATTCTCAATGCCCCTAGAGAGATAGGACGTTCCGAGGATTTCGGAAGCAACGTGTTCACATCATTGCTAAGAATACGAGAATTGGGAGAAAAGATCGGCACAGCTAAGCATAAGAAGCACACTGGACTCACGCGAAGCCTTGTCAAGCAACACAGGACTGGCACTATTAACCTCGCAACGTTGATGAATTTGTTGGGGGGGGGGGGGGGGAGTCTGAGCACATATGGATGTGTCTGGAGTGCTGTGGAGATAATCCAAGTCAAAACTCATAATTTCTCTCTCTCTCTCTCTCTCTCTCTCTCTCTCTCTCTCTCTCTCTCTCTCTCTCTCTCTCTCTCTGCGTGAGAGAGGAAAAAGAGGGGAGGGGAAGAACATATATGTATGAAGTCGCATAGAGTCTCTTGAGATTTATGGTTATATGCAGAAGAATAGGTTGGATTTCATGTAAACAAAAATAGACACAGAAGTTTTGGAGACACCAGGAGGGAAACTTAAAGGTATGGACTCTTACTCAATTAATAAATAAAAAATCGGTGCTTGTGAACTTAAATGCTACATACAAATTTCTAGGATACCTCAGACCAAGGAAAACACCAATATTCTTAGTCTTAGTCAAGGTTTGAACTTCCTCGCAATCGGGTTTCCCCACACTTTATACGTTTCTGTGCCAGTGACTGACTGACTGACTGACTTTTTACCCCACCAGGACATCACACAAGCGATAAGCACCCGATGACACAATGTGCCACCATGTATGTGAGGACCACCGTGGAGAGGTCCCAGAAACCGCGTTCAGCCTTTAGGCCATACTTATGGCCAGGCTATATTGCGGCCTCTGGCTAGAGCCAGAGTAGGGCTTCAAATAACGGAAAATGTCACCCTGAGAAGCACGGGAATTTTATTGAAAATCATTATAGTGCCAGTGAAAATCAAACGAAATGCCCCTCACTGCCGCATTAAAAAAAAAAACTAATGAACAAACAATTAGTCCATACACACTCCAGAAATGTGCGCACGCAGCAAATGCAAATTTCAGTTGCTAGATGCGCCAAAACCAACAGTCGCCGCCAGAAATGCAGTTTGTCGTTGATGGAAGTAGACAGACACGATACGTTGGCTACTATACACACGTAGACTTATTACATAAGGTATTTCGCCAGCTCACACGTAATCCGGCATCTGGCCTTATTGAATACCACGACACAACCGCTGCACACACGAAAGGAATTCCCCAGGGAAAAACACGGCTCACAGGGCTGCACCAAGCACTAAACTCAGTAGCTCAGGCATCAAATCAGTAGACTACCGCTAAAATGTGGCAACTGCACTAGCAAAGCGCTGTCGGAAGCAAAAATAAATTCGAAGCTGAACTTTCTGACATGCGGCATCCTCCATTATATAACCAGCATCCTACATGAACTTAACATTGAGGAAAATTGGCCCATAAACAGCATCCTGTTTCCAAGGTTGGGGTATATCTCCATGTTAATTAAACCTGTTGACATAAAGAGAACGGGAGGGATGGTACCGTTTACGGAAAACAAGACAGAGGCAGACCTCTGCGAATATGGATAGAGGACATTGAAGAAAGTATATAGGGCTGGAGAATTGGCTAGAGAAAGTGCCGTCAATAGGGCAAAGATCTGTGAATGACTTGCCGACTGATGATGATGAGGATAATGATGATAATAAGGATGATGACGATGATGTTGATTTTGATAGTGATGATGATGGAAAGACTGGAAATGAAAAAAAAAATTTGCTGAAGGTTATAAAACAGTCATATGAAAACAGATAACGCCATTAAAAGAGCTACACTGGAAGAAAACGCTGAAGACAAAGCAGCAAGAGGCAGACAATGATACACGCGGAGAATAATATCAGTAGATGAACGAACAGAAGACTTACAGAGTGTACATCCAGGAGGAAAGACAGAACATGACAAAGACAGATAACACAGAGAAATTCATCTCCAACAGAGACACAAGAAGACACGGAGGAACTCACCCGTCATCAGAAGACTGCAGCTTGCCATACATGGCCTTTATGATCACCAGTCCCGACTTCCTCTCCTCCTGCTCCACACACCGGTCGTAGCTCTCCTTCATAAGCTCCACCTGTGTGCACACATCGAACGACCCAGAAAAAAAAAAAAAAAACTGTCGTAAAGTTTCATGCGATTTGATTTGATTCAAGAACCGACATCACAGCACTCGGGGCATTCCCATAAGCGCTCCATCCCCATCTTCAGCAGCCAGCGAAGAGTTCCGATACTAATGGTGACAGTAGCATTCTGATTAAACGTTCGTCTTGCCTTTTCTCTGAGCCTCGAGCATCTGCCAGAACCTCTCGTCACTCCTCGCTGCATTAATCTCACCAGACTGTGGTGATCCATCTGCCCTCCGAACTGTACACGCTCTCCCACAAAGCACTAACTATGTCTGCTTTATCATGCATCAGTATTCTACCAAGCTGTGCATACACACCGGCATACCCTGGTGAAAAAATCCAGACAATACTCCTCACCCGTGTCTTCCGCAGCGAGGCCAGCCACTCTGCACGAAGCATACCTATCCTGATCTTTCTCAGCATGCTTTCTGAATCACTTACAATCACAATGTGTGTGTGTGTGTGTGTGTGTGTGTGTGTGTGTGTGTGTGTGTGTGTAGTGATCTCTAGCCCGGGAAAATTAAGAAAATACATTATTTTTCGTAATATTTTGTAACGATAATTCAGTATCACCCCGCCTTGTTCCCCCCCCCCCCCTGAAAAAGGCCTCATTTACAAAATGTTTGCTCGATAACATATCTGGATATAATATGTGAATCGATAGCCACAATTTAATCACTGACTAATAAATTTTCTGCCCTGGTGAAATAATATTTTATTTGACAAATATATTTAAAACATTAGCAATCGGAAATTACCAGTTAAAAAAATGGGAATATCCTCCCCCACCCACCGCAGAAAAGCATAAAAAAAAAAAAAAAAGAATGTGTGCAAAAAGTCAGCCCCATAGCTTATCGTGAAACCAGCACAAATTGTACCAGAAAACTAACAAACACAACCAAACTTAATAAAAGCTTATAAAAAGGACCCTTGTCTCATCTATAGCCAATGGGACACATGGTGTTACGCTCAATGTGATAGAACAATCGGCACTTGAAGGGCCTATGTGGTCAACTTCTCACTGACCGCATATACCTTCTCAGAAACTGTGTCCGTCTCGTTAAGGATTCTGTCGACGTGGGAGCCAGGGACAAAAACAAAACAAAAAATTGTAAGACAACTGTACTCACAGCCTTCTCTGCTTCAGATTTCTTCTGGGCCATCTTGTCGGCATATTCTTCTTTGTTCTTCTCCACGTCACTACACGAGAACAAGTGAAACAAAATAAAAGGAATCTTCTCGTCGAATTACCACCTGTGCAACTTACAACCATCAGCACTTACAACCATTCGCATTTACAACCATTCGCACTTACAACCATTCGCACTTACAACCATTCGCACTTACAACCATTCGCACTTACATCCATTCGCACTTACATCCATTCGCACTTACAACCATTCGCACTTACAACCATTCGCACTTACAACCATTCGCACTTACAACCATTCGCACTTACAACCATTCGCACTTACAACCATTCGCACTTACAACCATTCGCACTTACAACCATTCGCACTTACAACCATTCGCACTTACAACCATTCGCACTTACAACCATTCGCACTTACAACCATTCGCACTTAACACTATTCGCACTTACAACTATTCGCAGTTACAACCATTCGCACTTACAACCATTCGCACTTACAACCATTCGCACTGAAAACCATCCGCACTTACAACCATTCGCACTTACGAAAAAGAAAAGAAAAAATAATTGTTACAAAGTCCAGGAACTGACGCCTAGAGCGCAGCAGGGTGCAGACATCAGAGCCTTTTTCAAGCTACCCCGCCTGTCGGACAGTCTGTTTATATGAAAAAAGTGTTGCAAAATGGAAATTCGACTTGCGAGCAGGTCGACAGGAACTCGGTCTAAGGCGATGAGATCCTGCGTGCTTACATATCTTCACCAGTTTCCTCATACGCCTCTCACACTGTACATGTGCCTAGTAACCATGTCGGAAAAGAGCATGTCACCTCAAAACGACGACATCACCTCGCTGTAGAAACAAGTCTAGTGAGAGTAATTTTCTGTAGCGAGGCTCCGTCGTCATTTGGAGGTGACAGGTTCGATTCCCGGAATAATAACTACAGCTTTCAATTTGTATGTTGTCCATCTATATAGTTTTGAGTGCTGATCTATTCACTCTCTTTTAATTTATTATATCTAGTAACACAGATTAGTGAATAGGAATGATTATCATCACAGCACTACGGACAGATCCATAGGTGCTCTGTTTTTCTCATCAAAAGCTCAATAAGTGTGAAACGACTGATGACGCCTGTTCTGTGTTGGTTAATGAAACGTCTTGTCCTCTTAGTGAAATGTTCATTTCTTGCAGCTCCAGGCTGCACCCCCATGTCCATCAGTCCAGACAGGGATACAGAGTCATAATATAATAATATATAATATTCATAATATAATATAATAACACAGATGCAGACACAGATGCAGACACGGGGACACAGATGGGCACAAGGATGGGGACACAGATGCGGATACAGATGGGGACACAGATGGAGACACGGACACAGATGTGGACACAGATGCGGACACGGGGACACAGATGTGGACACAGATGCGGACACGGGGACACAGATGGGGACACAGATGCGGACACAGATGAGGACACAGATGCGGACACAGATGGGGACACAGATGGGGACACAGATGCGGACAAAGATTGGGACAGATGCGGACACAGATAGGGACACGTATGCGGACACAGATGGGGACACGGGGACACAGATGCGGACACAGATGGGGACACAGATGCGGACACAGATGCGGACACAGATGCGCACACAGATGGGGACATAGATAGGAATCCAGACTGGGACACAGATGCGGACACAGATGGGGAGGACACAGATGCGGACACAGATGCGGACACATGATACACAGCGACACAGATGCGGACACAGATAGCGACACAGATGGGGACAATGATGCGGACACAGATGGGGACAATGATGCGGACACAGATGCGGACACAGATGCGGACACAGATAGGGATACAGATGCGGACACAGATGCGGACACAGATGCGGACACAGATGCGGACACAGATAGGGACACAGATGCGGACACAGATGAGGACACATATGCGGACATAGATAAGGACACAGATGTGGACACAGATGGGGACACGGGGACACAGATGCGGACACAGATGCAAACACAGATGGGGACACAGATGGGGACACACATGCGGACACAGATAAGGACACAGATAAGGACACAGATAAGGACACAGATAAGGACACAGATGCGGACACAGATGCGGACACAGATAAGGACACAGATAGCGACACAGATGGGGACACAGATAGGGACACAGATGGGGACACAGATGGGGACACAGATGCAAACACAGATGGGGACACAGATGGGGACACAGATGGGGACACAGATGGGGACACAGATGGGGACACAGATGGGGACACAGATAAGGACACAGATGGGGACACAGATGGGGACACGGGGACACAGATGGGGACACAGATGGGGACACAGATAAGGACACAGATAAGGACACAGATAGGGACACAGATGGGGACACAGATAAGGACACAGATGGGGACACAGATGAGGACACAGATAAGGACACAGATGGGGACACAGATGGGGACACAGATGGGGACACAGATAAGGACACAGATAAGGACACAGATAAGGACACAGATAAGGACACAGATGCGGACACAGATAAGGACACCCAGACAACAAAGGACCACCAAGGTTTACATCAGCTTCTGCTGCAGGATGATAGGCTCCACGATCAGTTTCCGGACGATGTAGTAGGCGGCGAAGGGCAGGAGTGCCCCGTACAACATGGCGCTGGGGTTGAGATTGTCGGACAGGTAGATAGGGAAGAAGAAAGTCTGCTGACCTCGCAACAATCTGTGAACAAGACGTCAATGAAAGGTTAGTTGCGTATCCATTACAGGACGTTGCAGAACCAACCCCAACAGCCCCTTGCTGTTGTGTGGTTTTTCTAGGCAAATTTACTTCTAGTAGTTTGTCATTGCTTTCTGGGCGGTCGGCTTTCTTGATACCACTGTCGGAACCAACGCAAGGCGCATGGCCTGCAGCTGGGATCAAACCCGGCATTCCGGCATTACGAAGCGTTTGCATCGACTTAGCCACAGAGCCGACTGTCCATGAAAACAACTTACAACACATCAGGTGTTGTTTGAACTTTTCTGTCTTTCCAAACAACACTGTTATACTGTGCTATATGAAGGCTTGGGAACCAAAGCCCATGGCGAGGGCGAGTGTGACTAGCAAGATCCACTTGCGTAAACCCTTTCGTCCCGCGAATTAAAAAACAACCGCTAGGTCTGAAACCTATTCGAATGCCAAAAAAAAAAAAAAAAAACCTATTATAATCTATTTTTAGGTAATATATTCGTATTCTAACCCATAAAGCAAGGCAAAGACAGACATATAACTATTGGAATGTAACTACAATATTGTCAAATAGATCCCTCAGGTAGGACGATATTTCGGCATTTACGGGACTGTGTCACAACTGGATTGTCTCGATTTAGTCTTCTAGCGACAGCATTAGGAAAAATCCACAGTTAAATATCGGATTTCAGGATCATTTTTGGGTAATAAAATGTATTTACCGTGCATCTTCGCAAACCCCGAGCCGTTAACCAGTCTTTAGCCTTATTATCTTTTACCCATAATCCCCTCTGATTGTTCCCTGTCATGCAACACGGTCCACAAAATCCTGTCTAAAAATATCCATTTCAATACCTGCATCATTCATGTCCCGCTTGTACACATCTTTATATTATTGTAGATGCTGACCTTAACATCTTCTATCCTTCTGTCCCAGTACAATAAACCTCGCACCCACAACCACAACCACACAGGTGGGACAGTGAGACGGGGGCTTACTTGAGTTTCAGATGCACTCCCTGGGGCACCCCCACCAACAGTGTGCCCCCGATGTGGCTGAAGTCGGTCAACTTTTTCTCCACAGAGCACTCAACCATCCCGCCCAACGTACCCATTCTGTAGACAGCAGAAACATAAACATCCTGTTAGTCAGGTCCAGTGAAGTGAAGCGAAATGAACTGAAGTCAACTAAAGTAAAGTGAAGTGAAATGATATGAAGTGAAATGAAGCAAACTAAAGTAAAGTGAAATGATGTCAGGTCAAGTAAAGTGAAATGAAGTAAAATGAAGTGAAGTGAAGTCAAGTGATTTTACTTCAAGTAAAATAACGTAAGGTACAGGAAAGTAAACTAAAGCAATGTTAAGTGAAATGAAAAAGTGAAGTGACGCAAACTTAAAGTTATGTATAGTAATGTAAAGTAACGTAACGCAGAGTTAAGTAATGCACGATTAAGCAAAGACAAGTGTAGTAACATAATGTAAAGTAAATTAAAGTAATGTAAATTGCATTACATTAAAGTAGTGTAAAGTGACATGACCTGAACCGAAGTGAATGAGAGTAGCGCGAAGCAAAAGAAAACGAGAAGATTTATGCAAAGACAGTTGCACGGGAAGTTACCATGCAGATAAAACACTGAGCTGACAGATAAAACACTGACCTGACAGATAAAACACCGAGCTGACAGATAAAACACTGTCCTGACAAATAAAACATGACCCTACACACAAAATACTGACTTGAGAGATACAACACCGACCTGACAGATACAACACCGACCTGACAGATAAAACACTGGCCTTACAGATAAAATACTGACCTGACAGATAAAACACTGACCTGACAGATAAAACACTGACCTAACAGATAAAATGCTAACCTGACAGATAAAACACCGACACGACAGATAAAATACGGACTTAACTGACACAAATACTGACCTAACTTTAAAATACTGACCTGGTAGATAAAACACCATCCTGACAAATAAAACATGACCTACAGACACAATACTGACTTGAGAGATACAACACCGACCTGACGGATAAAACACTGACCTTACAGGTAAAATACTGACATGACAGATAAAATACTGACCTGACAGCAGTCCGGACTTTTGAGTTTGACTCTGGGAAACTTCTAGTGTACGAGAGGGATACGTAGCTGGAACGAGTTCCCAGCTGAAATGACAACCATGTACACAGTGGGAAATAACCATGTACCCAATGGGAAATAACAACCATGTACAGAGTTGGAAATGACAACCCTGTACACAGAGAGAAAAGACAACCATTACAAGTACACATAGATAACAACCACGTACATGGACAGAAATGGTAATCACGAACACAGCTAAAAATATAATTAATTCGTAATCATCATCATCATCATAATCATGAAGTGCTTTGTCGACTGGCGTGGGCGACAATGCCTCTCCAACAACAGCATCAACAACAACAACAACAACAGAAAGAGCAAAAACAATAACCGCAACAGCAGGAATTAACACCAATGGCTTCTCCCCCTAACTCCCCCTCTTCATCATCAGCAGCATCATCATCATGTTGTGGTGTTATTTGATACATAGAGCCCGGAGACACCAACAGGAAACAATGACCGTAGAAAACTGACCTGTACAGAGGAGGAGAGGTGGTTCTGGTCGTTGGTGTAGACGATGTTGGTCAGCAGGGAGGAGGGGCGGCTGAGGTTGTAGGTCAGTCTTCCCTGCAGGTTGCGGTCAAACTGGTAGGACACAGCTGTGACAGAAGAAAACACAAATTACTGGTTGGACACAGCTGTGAGAGGAAAAACAAATTACTGATAGAACACAGATGGGAGAGATACTACATTGTTATCTTAGCCAAGAGGCCCTTAACAGATATGACATTGTTATCTTAGCCAAGAGGCCCTTAACAGATATGACATTGTTATCTTAGCCAAGAGGCCCTTAACAGATATGACATTGTTATCTTAGCCAAGAGGCCCTTAACAGATATGACATTGTTATCTTAGCCAAGAGGCCCTTAACAGATATGACATTGTTATCTTAGCCAAGAGGCCCTTAACAGATATGACATTGTTATCTTAGCCAAGAGGCCTTTAACAGATATGACATTGTTATCTTAGCCAAGAGGCCCTTAACAGATATGACATTGTTATCTTAGCCAAGAGGCTCCCAACAAATATGACTTTGTGATCTTAGCCAAGAGGCTCCCAACAGATATGACTTTGTGATCTTAGCCAAGAGGCTCCCAACAGATATGACTTTGTGATCTTAGCCAAGAGGCTCCCAACAGATATGACTTTGTGATCTTAGCCAAGAGGCTCCCAACAAATATGACTTTGTGATCTTAGCCAAGAGGCTCCCAACAGATATGACTTTGTGATCTTAGCCAAGAGGCTCCCAACAGATATGACATTGTTATCTTAGCCAAGAGGCTCCCAACAAATATGACTTTGTGATCTTAGCCAAGAGGCTCCCAACAGATATGACTTTGTGATCTTAGCCAAGAGGCTCCCAACAGATATGACTTTGTGATCTTAGCCAAGAGGCTCCCAACAGATATGACTTTGTGATCTTAGCCAAGAGGCTCCCAACAGATATGACTTTGTGATCTTAGCCAAGAGGCTCCCAACAGATATGACTTTGTGATCTTAGCCAAGAGGCTCCCAACAGATATGACTTTGTGATCTTAGCCAAGAGGCTCCCAACAGATATGACTTTGTGATCTTAGCCAAGAGGCTCCCAACAGATATGACTTTGTGATCTTAGCCAAGAGGAATTTATGTATAAGGTAGTAATATTGATAGTCAATGGAACACACAAAAGAAAGAAATTACGATAAACATTAGCACCAGTCATTAGCAGCTTCTAAAAGCTCGAACAAAGTTTGGAACTCTACACAATTTTAAACCTAGTTATTTATTTTCAGTTCTACTTTTGTTTCAGATTTAACAGATGCCAGTAAAAGTTGATGGCGGTATCCGTGGCTTAGGCGTTGCGAGTCCGACTCGTAATTCCAACGTACCGTGATTGAAACCAACTGCTGGCTGCATGGATTGGTATCATGGTAGAAGGCGTTGCAGGTTGACCCAGCCTAAAATAGGTACCAGGATGTATGTCCTGGGGAAGTAAAGACGGCCGGCATAGTGCTGACCACATTACCCACCCAGTGCCGATTGGTCTGTAAAACAATGGGTGCTCTTCCCAGATGCCCGATGCGCCTAAAGGCGTGAAGGTAGGTAGGTGGTTGTACCCCACCAGGACATCACACAAGCGATAAACACTGGGTGACACAAAGTGCCACAACGCGGATAAGAATCACCCATGAAGAGGTCCCAGAAACCCCTTTCAGTCGTTAGGCCAGATCTGTGGCTAGGCCATATATTCAGGGCTTCCGGCAAAAGCAAGGGTGGGGCTTCAAAATATTACAAAAATTGCATCCCACGAGGGGACGACTTGGGGTT